TCAGGTACAGCTGTACTCAGCTATGGCTGTGCGTGGCTGTGGCTCTGTGCAGTTACAGCTCTGTGCAGCTATAACTGTACTCAGCTGCGGCTGTATGTAGCTATGACGGTGGAGGCAGAGGTGTATGTGTCTGCGGCTGTACTCAGCTACAACTGTGCATGGCAACGAGTGTGCAGGTAGAGCTCTACTTAGCTACGGCTGTGCACGGCCACAGCTGTACTCGGCTACGGCTGTACATGGCTGTGGCTGTGCAGGCAGGGCTGTACTTGGCTATGGCTGTGACTGCAGGTAGCGCTGTATTCGGCTGTGCCTGTACATGGCTGTGACTGTGCAGGTAGCGCTGTATTCGGCTGTGCCTGTACACGGCTGTGACTGTGCAGGTAGCGCTCTACTCAGCTGCGGCTGTGCACAACTGTGACTGTACAGGTAGAGCTGTACTCAGCTGCGGCTGTGCACAGCTATGACTGTGCAGGTACCGCTGCGCTCAGCTGCGGCTGTGCGTGGCCACGGCTGTACACGGCTACACCCCGCACCGGGGGCCCTCGCCGCCGCGTCCCGCACACCCGCCCGTGGGCGCAGGGCGGCAGCGCCGGCGCTGGGGCTGCTCCTTGGTCGGCGCCTGACGGGACTCGGTGGCTGCTCCGAGGACGGACAAACTCAGGTCGCACATGAGAGAGGCCCCGGGAGAAGGAGCCGGCGCGGCCGGGGCGGCTCGGGGGTCTCGCCAGAGCGCGGGCGGCCCCGTGGGCGCCCAGGGACCGTTGGCGGCGGCGCGGAGGCCGCAGGCGCAAGGCGGAACACAGGAAACTCCAGGCGCGCAGGAAGGCTCCGCCGCGGGCGGCCGCGCTCCGTGGGAAGAGAAACGGCAGCTCCGCAACGCGGGGATCGACAGCCACCCCCCCGTGCCTGTTGTGCCCAAGTGAGCGGGTCCGTGCTCTCCATCGCATCAGGGAACTGATCCAGGCACCCTCTCTATTTTCCTGATTATTTTACCATGGCTCGGTTCCCTCAAGTTCCCGGGGCAGGTTTCCCGGTGGGAATGGCGCTGTGTGTCACCTGAGGGAGGTGTCGGAGTGGAGCTGTGCAGGTGGGAACAGCCGCTGGCAGCCGGCTGTACTCTGGGGCCAAGCGCCTTCCGGGCTCTCTCCGACTGTAGCCCTGTGCTCCGCCACCTGTGTGAGCAGGTCCAGCCCTCCTTAGCACAAACGTGACATCTATAGACATAAAATATTTCCCGTGAAGTGGCAGCTGGTGGAAACGCGCCATGCMGATGGGTGAGGCCTTTTCCAGCTCTCCAGCATCAGCTCTCATCCCCTGGGGAGCTGCAGGAGGGGAGATGGACCTGGTGTTGGGAGCGTTTGGAACCGCCTGAGAGCTCTCGAGTTTTTAGGGCTAGAAATATTTTTCAARGACTTTCAAGCTCAAGCGCCAAGCCTTTCATGCTGGTGTAGGTTTGTGATCAAAAAGACGCTGTCTGAACAAGTATAGATTAAGTATATCTGAGATTTCCAAAAAGCAGTGGATGTTTCTGTCTGGTGGATAGAGTTGCACTCAACAGTGAGCACGTTGGAAACATTCTTTAGGAAAATGTTGCATAAAAAAACAAGCTGAGATCTTTTTTTAAATGAAAATGTAGATCAGGCAGAGATTTTATTAGCCRAGCATGAATTATGACTTTAATCTTAGGATCTGTTGCTATTCTTAAGCTATTACTTTTAACKGAACCAGGTTGCAATAGAGGTGCACTGAATCCATGCAAGGTCCTCATTGGGATTTGTTATTCTACAGCTGCTACTGTCCTGTATTGTGTATTTGGAATTGGAAACAGACCCAAACCGGTAGCCCTTTTTCCTTCTGGGACCTTAAACTTCTAAAGGAAGGTTCATGAAATTTTACCATAGTTGATTACAAGGCGATTGTTTCTTACTTCGTTTTTGAGTATTTGGGTTTCTGCTCTGAAAAATGCTAGTTTATGTGCATCACTACTAAAGACGGCAACATTCAAACTTTGTCTTTTTTTTTCAGGTGGCTTTGAAACTGGAACAGATGGCTGAGCTTGTTCAGGGGGAAAGCAGCAAATACCTGCAGGAAGTGGGAGAGACTCTGGGAACGCGCACAAAGCTCTGAAGCAGGAGACAACATTTATCCTCTCCGGGACCCATCTCGTACAGAGGTGAAACATTCATAGTCGCAGACGCCTACAAAGCAAGATTGCTCTACAGCGCRGGCCGCCTGCACCCTGAGAGGGAGAAGGAGCCATCGCATCACCCGGTGACGTCTCAGCAGTTTTAGTCCGTTCCTCGCTGTGCTCCGCGCGAGCAGGCTCAGCCCTCCTAAAACCAACTTCTGCTCTCAACGCTCGTTTTGAAACCTCACGCCGAGTGAAKCCTCTTCCTCAAATCACCCCCTTTCCCGGTGCGTTCACCGGCGGGAGCAGCCGGAGGTACGGTGATTTCCCTGGGATGTTACTGCGCTCGCGTGCGCTGGTAGCGCGCTCTTCCCTCGCGGGGAGCGAGCTGCACATCCTGCCGCAACCGGCGCCGTGTCCGCGGGCACGCAGGAAGCTCCTCCCTCTGAAGCAATCATGGAGAGGGGCAGAGGCTGGGGAACGCGGCTATTTTAGGAAGAGTTCCTCAGGCAGCTCGCTGTAAGGAGGGAGACCCATGCTGAGGCCTTTATTCTAGCCAGCCCCTTCCCGGGATGGTGGCTGGGGCTGGAGGAGCCACATAAAAATGCATGATATTATTCACAAGACAAACACGACCCCAGATCGACCTGCTAACAGCGATGAATGTAGATATTCACTGAGAGGAAAGCCAGCAGAGAATACTCAGAGATGAAGAGGCTGTAGGCGGTTTACTTTGTTGAGGAGGAATCGGTTTCACCTTCTGTAGGAGTAGAAGAGATGATAAAAGAAAGATATTTATTCATTACGGTAGAAAATCTGCTAATCCAGAGAGGTAGAATCGGCCCTGCAGTGGAAAAGAGAAAACACAGTGACTGATGATGCCCTGAAGAGAAGTAGCACCTGTTATCTCCTTGAAAAGGGATGTGGTGTCATTGATAGCAGGTTKTCATCCACCATCCTGTTGGCCCATGTACAGTGATTCACATTGGTTTGCTAGGAGGTGGTTTTACCAGCTCGCCAGGTTGGGAGCAGAGTGGATGAAAACAGATTAAACAAGAAGCATAGTTTCTAGAGAAGCTCTAGAAGAGGGTCCCACGTGGATAGTGATCAAGAGCAAGCGAGAATAAACTGCAAAGTTCATGCAAAAAGGGAAGGAAAAGAGAGCCATGAAAAAAGTTGGGAAAGATGAGATAACTAGGGCTCTATGAGACACCCACCTGCAATATTTCCAAAGAAAACAATACAAGCGACACTGGTTCTTAATAGTGGCAAAGAAATTCTTCAAAAAACACTCAAGGAATCCGAGGGAAAGGGGCTAAGGCAGAAAAGAACCTCCTTGGTGCGTGAGCGCAGTGATTTCATGGCCTGGACAACGCAGCAGGTTGTCCCTGCTGTGCTCAGGATGCATCAGCTCCCCTGGCGCTTACCTGCTATGGAGGGCAGCTTATAGAGACGCCTGAGCTGAGCTCAAATCCAGCCCCTCTGGCCTCAAAGCCCCTCTCGAGCTGGTCTAATGCAATATAACTGTGTCCTGTTTTGCAAGACACAGACTTGCTAAGGGGGAGCTGCCCGTGTGTAACACGTGGGACAGGCAGCCTCGCGTAGCTGCGGCGCTTGTTGAACGCTGTTGAACGCTCACGGTGTTCGTGTGCACGGGAGAGGGACGCAGCCTCTTAACACCAGCTGTTCTGTGATTTCAGATGAGGATTTTTCGCTCCTAGAGAAGTTTCGCCACTGAAGGCTCCCGCTGCCAGCTGCACCGGGACAGCAGCGCGGCCGGTGAACTTGAGTTCTGCTCGACATGGCCACGTTCTTCTAGACCTGCCATGACGGCATTTTTCCCCAGCGTCCCCACCTGGATTCAAGATGCAAAGCAGGAGGAGGAGGAGACGGGCTGGAAACTAGTCCCCAGGCCAAGAGGGGAAGAGCCCGCGAGCCAGGGAAAATGCCAGTGTGAGAGAGCGGAGGCCTCCTTCCCTGCCGTGGACAAGCTGAGAGCCCACGCGCTCGCCCATAGCGAGCAGAGGCCCTACCACTGCCCGCAGCTGCACTGCGGCAAGGCCTTCGCTTCCAAGTACAAGCTCTACAGGTGGGTAACGGGAGGTGGGTAACTGGGGAACCCCCACCCAAGGGTGGCTCATACAGTTTCTGAGAAGGTGGAGGAGGGGGAATGCCCTTGTCACCCGGCAAGGCAGGCGGGTGCCACGCATTACCATACTTGGCAGYGCTTGAGCCCCTTCCAGAAGCCTCAGATAACGTTTTATCCTGAGCTCAGGACATTTTCTGTATTACTAAGGAGGAAATTGAAGCATAAAGTGGAAAGCAACCTGAAAAACAAGACTAGCGCTCGTGTTACGTAAGTCCTGCCTTTGTAACCTCAATCACAGGCGCGTTTCCGTGGCAGTTACTGCTCTAGCCTAAAGAAGTAGAGCTTCCAGTTGTGTATTGAAATAYAGGGTAGAAAAATAAATTATAAGATGACTGGGAACTTGAAGGCAGGATGAACCCCAGTTTCATAGATTAATGAATGACCGCCATGGTGGTAGTCAACAGATGTTGCCGCAGTGTGATGCCTCTCGATGAAATGAGGTGGTCTCAGCCATGGACGACATTTCTGGTCCCAAACACCCAGGGTTGTCACTGTCCCTTCCCCGGTGGTAGTTTCAGCAGGGAGAACAGGAGCTCCCGGACGCCGGAGGTGCCGCGTTCCGGGCAGGCAGGCGCCGCTCGGACGCCGTGGTGSTTGTTGGCCGCGTTGTGCTCCCGGGCCTGGGCATTCCCTGCTGCCCGGCGTGGCCGTTGCGCAGCCCCACCATTCCAGCCGCCTTGGGTGCCCTTAAGGGCAGAGCACAAGGAAAGGAGTGCGTGTTCTCGTAGGGGCTGGAGCCTGGGCTGAACTCTCCTGCTTTCCCCCCAAAGGCACATGGCCACGCACTCTGCCCAGAAGCCGCACCAGTGCATGTACTGCGAGAAGATGTTCCACCGAAAAGACCACCTGCGCAACCACCTGCAGACCCACGACCCCAACAAGGAGGCCCTGCACTGCCCCGAGTGCGGCAAGAACTACAACACCAAGCTGGGCTTCAGGCGGCACCTGGCCATGCACGCGGCTGCCAGCGGGGACCTCAGCTGCAAGGTTTGCCTGCAGACTTTCGAGAGCACCCAGGTCCTGCTGGAGCACCTTAAAGCTCATTCTAGGCGGGCCTCGGGCGGCGCCAAAGAGAAGAAGCACCCGTGCGACCACTGCGACCGGCGCTTCTACACGCGCAAAGACGTGCGGAGACATTTGGTGGTGCACACGGGCAGGAAGGACTTCCTGTGCCAGTACTGCGCTCAGCGCTTCGGCCGCAAGGATCATCTCACCCGGCACATGAAGAAAAGCCACTCCCAGGAGCTGCTGAAGATCAAGACGGAGCCCGTTGACATGCTGGGGCTCCTCAGCTGCAGCTCCTCCGTGGCAGTGAAGGAAGAGCTGAGCCCGGTCCTGTGTATGGCATCCAGAGACATGATAGGTGGTAAGAGCTTCCCTGGCATGTTGCCCGTGGGCATGTACGGCACACATCTGCAAACCATGCCCAGCTCAGGGATGCCCCCTTCTTTGGTTCCTAACTCCCTCCCCATGGGAATGAGCTACCCTCTGGAGTCTTCTTCTCCCATCTCCTCCCCACCGCAACCTCCTCCAAAGTATCAGCTTGGATCTACCTCATATTTGCCTGAGAAACTACCCAAAGTGGAGGTGGACAGCTTCTTGGCAGACTTCCCTGGCAGTCTGTCCCTCTCAGCTGGCGAGCCCCCGTCCTCTTCGCCCCAGCCGCCCGCCCTGGACGAGGCCCTGCTTTCCAAGAGCCCCGCTAACCTTTCCGAGGCTCTCTGTGCTGCTAACATGGACTTTTCTCATCTTCTCGGCTTCCTCCCCTTGAATCTTCCTCCTTGCAATCCGCCCGTATCCTCAGGGGGATTGGTCATGGGCTACTCGCAGGGGGAGACGCAGCCGCTGCTCAGCGCTCTGCAACACCAACCTCAAGAAGCTCCTGGAGCCGGGGCCCCCCTGAACTTTGGTCCCCTTCACTCGTTGCCCCCCGTTTTCACCTCCAGCCTGAGCACAACCACCCTGCCACGTTTCCACCAGGCATTCCAATAAGCTGGAAAATAGCACTGGAGAAGGGATCGTTCAGCCACCCTTTTGTGGAGAGCCTTAAAACGCACAACTCTCAGTGCCCTCCGGGGCGAGAGCTTTTCCCAGCTGCCTCTCACAGCAGGTTTCCGAGCGCTGGAGGGAGCACTTGTAGACTGGAACAGCAGATACCCCCAGGCACGACCCAGTCCTGTACAGTGAAAAGATTTCAGCTGATAGACTGGATAGATTTTATCTAGTTTTTAATCTGTGAATCAGGAGCCACCCTTAGCACTGACCTTCCCGAGATGCCGGAGCTGTGTTCCTCTCTGGGAAGGGCCTCACCCTGAGAAGGAGTTGAGACTCTTTCACCTTGGGCTACACTTCTGAAGAGTCCAACTTCCATTTCCTATGGTATCACACTGCKATTCTGGCAAAATAATCAATACCTCCATGAGGAGGAGGAGGAGGGACAGCCGCTCTGTGCGAAGCAGCGGGGCCGCCCTTCCGTCCTGCCCCCCGTGCAGCTGCCTCCACCCACGCACAACTTACTCCACAGCAGTGTTAAGCAACGAGACCGTTTACACAGCGAATGCAGACACAGCACCTCATTTCTCTTTACGGAGCCATTAGGTTCAACTCAGTACAGTGACCATTGTTTACACAACACAAATCTGTTCCACCAGTACAAAAATAGGAGGCACCAGAATACCCTGGTTCTACGTCTGGTGTAGCTAGAACACTGTTTACACAACGAAGTCAGGTTGCACTGATTTCTCTTCACTTCCACGTTCTTCCCCCATGGGGAAATACACTGCTTTTGGACCGTTTTGTTTCAGCCCTGCCCGTTTCCTGCATCTTGCCTCTGCCTCTCCCTGTGCACCAAGAGGACGGAGCAGCTCCCAGCCCAGCTCAGCGTGGTGGGTGGACGGAGCCGCGAGCAGAACAGGTCACGCAGCCCTTCTGGAGAGCAAAGCACACGGAGGAGCCGGTGCGGAGCTGGGCGGCACGAGGAGGCGCCGGCGCCGCGCGGTGCCCGCGGGTCAGGGCTCCTCTGGATTGCCAGCACCGGTCGCTGGGGTCAGCAGCGCGCTGGCTAAGCTCGAGAGATTAGTTTCAACCCCCATTCTAGGCTGATGACATCCAGGAATCAGGAGAATATAATTGCTCCTGGGTTCATTCACACTTTGCCGCTCGATTGGAATCACTTTCCCCAACACTAAGAGTTCTAACAAGCAGAGGGCTTGGACCTGCAGCTGCCTTTTCACTCAAGCTTTGGAGCCACAGGCCTTTCTGTTCTCTCTTCCTCCAGCTTTGCCTCCTGAGCTTAAATTTCTGCCTCCCTCGTCCCTGGGCCAGCTCTTCAGCTCTCCATGGGGTGCTGACGTGCTGAGCGCGGGAGGCTGCGGGGCGCAGTGGCAGCGAGTTGCTCGTGCCCTTCAGCACTTGCTAAAATCACCGTCTCCTGGGCACTTGTATCAAGGTAGTAACGCGAAGGTCAATCTTGCTGTGCTCTCGTGCACGTTTCTGGACGCAGCCTCACAGCTCTTCATACCTCAGCACAGAGGAACCGTCCTAGGCCAACAGCACCTAGCAAATCTATGGATACTGTTCTCCGAGAAGCCTGAAGATGCCGAGTCTACCTCTGCTGCGTTATCCGAGCTCCGTGGGCGAAGGCAGCGCCCGTCCTCGCGCTCCCCCAGCCCATCGGCCGGGTTCCACGTCACCCCCGCCGAGCCGGCAGCCCTGCGCTGCTCCACGCGCGCCTCCCCCCTTCCGTCGTCCTCGAGGATTTTATTTTTGATTTAGTTTAGCGATTCTTCCCAGAATGACTATCTAGTGAGCCACTGATTCTCCAAAACATAGATCAATTGTTTTAGGTTAGCCAGCAATGCTGCAAATAATACTTTTGTATCAAAATGTAATATAAGATTTATTTACCTCAACAATATCCTGTGGCAATGAGCTCCCCGAGTTCAGTGCAGTACTTGCTTTTCTCCACTGAAGATGTTGCCTTTCGAAGCTCCACGAGTGCCTTCTTGTTCTGTAACACAGGAAAGGGAAGCCGGGCCCGTCAGCGGGCTCCTGCTTGCCCTCATTAAATACCTCAATCTCTCGCTTTTCTCTTTGCAAAGTCAAGAGCTTCCCAATGTTATCACGTACACCAGCCTTAGCYGTTGTGAGAGGTTTGGTCTGTTTTGTTTTGAGAAGTAAGTGGTCAGAACTGATCGCTTGCAGCAAGCGACGATGTCCTGGGTTTCTGCAACGCCTCCCGCACCGTTTTCTTCCTTTCCAGCACATGCCGCTTCCTCGCCTTTTGCCTGTGTTGTACCCTGACCAGCTGTCACCATTGCAATTCCTCTAGCAGCGGTAGCTAAACTTAGAGCCAGACATCTCTGCCCTCCCAGTAGTCTGTCAAAGAATAAATGGAATTCGTTTCACTGCTATTTGCACGTGTGAGTTGCTTCCACGGCCGCTCTGACACAGGCAGCTCGAACCCGGACCCGCCGTCCCTGCCCCTCTGTCTCAGCAGTCTAGAACAGGGAGACCGCCTCAGGTCACGATACTGAGTCCTTAACTCGCACGATAAATTATTTTGTGCAGTTCAAGGTTTCAGCTGGTTCATAGGAGAGAGTGGTGAACACGAGATCTACCCTTCAGAAGCTGAACGCATTAGGAAACGCGCACTGAACGTCATTAAATTATTATAAAAGGATTATAAACCAGCTTAGACAAGTCCGTGCTCATGCAATCGTAGGTAAAGGGTAACGTTAAACTTACCATGTTGTGAAAGCAATGCTTAATAGTCTAAAAAACTGTGACGCTTGTGCAYGAGGGAGCAGCATCCCGTTATGCTTGTTAGGGGATGGAAAAAAGTAAGCTTTGTCAGAGAAGGGGCTTTAAGGAAAAATAATAAATACTCRAAAGGTCAAGGAGCAGGGATGCGGAGTCGCTGCTTTCTGCACGGAGATGCAGACGGGGAGACCTCAGGGAGCAGCGGGTGGACATGGAGGCTCCTCGGACAGAGCCGAGGCCCCGGGCCGGTGGCTCTCCCGCATCCGCAGAAGCCACGGCTCGATCCCGGCCGCTGTCCGTGGGTCCGAGTGGCGCCCGCGGGAGGCCGCCAGCCTTGGCCAGGGCCCGGGCACCCCCAGCCACGGCCTCCGCCGGCCTCTCCGGCGCTGCCTCCCGCTCCCAGGGCGCCGGCACCTCCCGAGGCAGCAGCGGCTCCGGGAATGGTGCTGGCGTTGCCACCTTGGCACTGCACCCGCAGCCGGGAGCTTCCTTGGCAGCCTCCTCCGCGCGGCCGCCCCATCATCGAGGGCTGCGGAGCTCCGGGGAGGCAGGCCGGGCCGAGAGCCTCCGCMCCGCTCGGAGCCGGCAGGACACGGAGCGAGCGGCTGCTCCGGCAGCAGGAGCCCTCGGCCTCATTCGCGCCACCGGCCCAGCGAAGCTGTTCGACCAAAGAGGAGGACGGGCCGCCGCGGAGCGGGCTGGCGGCCGCAGGAGGCCAGGACGGAGCTGGCGGAGGCTGGAGCTGGCCGAGGCCTCGCGCCGAGGCTGCTGCTCCGTGGGGCGGCTCCGCGTGTCCCGCGGGGCCGGGCAGCAGGAGCGGGAGCGCGGCCGGGCACAGAGCAGAGCTGCATCCGCGGCGGCACCCACCGCCCGCAGCACCCTGGGCCAAAACCTCCCTGCCCTTAACCACCGAGTCTGGGGTTTAAATTTCCTCTAAAATTTAACCTAGCACTTTCATATACAGCAAATAACCTCTTTTAATGAAGGTTTTGGGGGGGGCTTTATAAGACAAGTTGTTTTAAATTGTAAAAATATTAAGTGCCATTAGGAAATACACAGTTTGTCTCTAGTTTTTTTTGCGTTGCTTTACAAAATGAAGTTCAAGTTGAAAGCATTTTTTACAACAAAGCTGTTTAATAAAAACATTGGAATTATCTGCCCCAAGTGTCTTCTTGGAGGGGGGGCCCCAAGGTCGATAAAAATCTCTTTTTGAATAGAGGCGGAATGGGAAGGYGAGTCCAAGACCCTGTTTGCCCACCTCTTCTGCAGGTGCCCAGGTGGCCCCAGCACCTCCCAGCCCCATTCCCAGCTCTGCTGGTGCTCTGAAGCCCCGTGGAGGGAGCAGGGGCCGGTGTCACCCTGTTGTCCCCTGCCCGTGACGCTGCTCCAGCCCCAGTGCTCCTCAACCCAAGCGCAGCGAGGAGCYGCCCGGGAACACTCACCAGGAACGCTTGCCAGCGGCGGCTGCACAGACCCGAGAGCAGGACAACAGGACAATGGCAGGTTTATTTACAATAGGACACAAAGAATACATACATTAATTAAAAATTACAAAGAATACAGAGAAAACACTTTGGGGAGAGAAATCAACGCTGGCTGAACCGCTCCAAGGAAGAGCAGGGGGAGAAAAAAAAAAGGAAAAAAAAAACCAACCCAAATCTCAAGACCGTCACTCAGAGCTGTGGAGGACTCCACGGCACGGCCGGCTCGGGCGCCTACGCTCCCCTTTTCCATCCTTGATTCCTGGAGGATTCAGCTTTGGCATGATGGGCGGCTCAACACGTTACTGGGCAAGACTGTGAAGACTTAATAGACTTAATGCTGAGGAGGAATCGACGCCTCGGGGGGTCCCTGCGGGGAGCAAAGGCCACCAGAGACACGCGGGTCCCCRGGCAGAGCCAGGGGGCTCCTGTGGACCTGGGCCAAGAGCAAAACCCCAAACCCTGGGGGTTCCTCCGTCCCGGGACCAGCTGCTCGCCGCTGGGGGTGGCTACTTGGAGACCTCATACAGCAAAAAACAAAAGCAGAAACTCCCCCTTGCAGCTCTGACAATCCAGCTAACTGGGACATGGAGGGAACCTTCACTACAACACGGAACCCTTTTTTACCGGTAAACATCATTTAAGTGACCAAAATTAAACCTTAACCTCATTTAAAACCAACCGCCCATGTGCCATTCCAGGTACCCAGCCGTGCAAAGCGGAGCCTGCAGAACAGCCCACAGCGGCCAACGCAGGAACGTGGGACCGTTCGCAAAGAAGAWCAGAACACGACGTGTGGGGCGGGCGCCCTGTCTGCAGCCTGGAGGTAGAGAATCCGCACCGGGAAGCGGCGGGAGCTGCCCCGGGAGGCTCGCGGGGCCCTGCTACCGAGCCCAGAGCCGCCGCGGGCCCCTTGGCACCGAGCGCCGCCGCGGGGGCTCCTCTCCACGGGGCGCCCCCGAGCCCGCTCCCTCGCACGGCGGCGGCAGAACCACCCGGCACAGAGCTAACAAGGGGAGAGAGAACAAGGCCCTGCAGTTACCTCCCACCTTCCTCCCRTCGCAGGCTGGAGCGGGGCACGACCGCGCTGCTCCCACGGGAACGCTGCATCCCATGCCATCCCGGCATCTTCCGGCGGGGAGGACGTGCCGCCCTCTCCGCAGGTTCCCAGTGGACGCCTCCGGGGCGGCACGCGCGGTCCCGGCAGGCGACGCGGAGGGCTCCGCTCCTCGTGCTCCGGGTGCCCAGCCGCTCTTCCCAGGCCCGGAGCGGCACCTCCRTGGAGCTGTAAACACGTCGGAGGCAGGAGCGGGGCCCGGGGATCCTCTCGCGCTGCCCGGCTCAAGCTCCCTCTTCCATGCAGAGGCGAAGGCAGGACAGAAGACAGAAACTTGGCCTGATTGTGGTCTGCAGAGTCTCCCTGAATCCTAGAGCACCCTAGGGGCTGGAAGAAGACATTTTCACAAGCGTTTCCACTTCTGTTTCAAATCCATTCATCATCATTAAAAAAAAAATCAATAAAAAAAGGATGTTTGCTTATACAGAGGGACATTTCTCTGCTTTGAAAAAAAAAGAAAAAAACAAACTCTCAAAACTGGAGTAGGATAATAAAGTTAAAATGCAAGGTATCTACAGACCCCTCTTCCCCCCAGAAGTAGCCCAGAATCCATGTAGACTGTGCCAAAAGGTACATTCCAAAATGAGGAGTTGTTTATTTCTCTCGTCACTCTCCCACTGGGTTTGTTTCCTTAAAAGAGTGGGGAGAAGCTGCCCCCTTCACTGCCAAGAGGACACGCGTATGAAGGTGTCTACTTTCTGCCGGCTCTGCTTCCTCAGTCTATTTTCACGGCCGCGTAGATCTTCCGCACAAACATGTAGGCTGCATAGAAGCCAATGGTCCCCGTGAGGAGCCAGAAGGACAAGACCATAAGGGCGGTGTAGCCAAAGTACAGCAAGGAGGGAATGAACTCCACGATATCCAGCTGAAAGAGCAGCAGGAAACAGGCAAAAGTGAACACAGGGGAACAGGAGCTAGGCTCCCCACACCTCCCACACCTCCAGGAGCACATTCAGCAAGGGAAGCGGAGGAAACCCTCCACTGAATCCGTCCCACTTTGCTGAAGAGACCCCCTTTTGAAGGAGAGTCAAGGAACTTTTAYACCCACAGGGGAGCACTCGGCACAGGTGAGCACGGACAGGGCCCTCGCCTACCTTCAACCTGCCCYTTCCTTTGTGCAGAATTATTAGTGCAGGTGTTTGCTGAGCTGCCCTGCACTGGTGAGGACCGGGCGGCGCAGACCAGGACTGGGCGGCCCTGCTCTTCCCTTCTCCAAACCCTCTCCCAATCTCTAGCAAGGCGAAGGTTCTGTACAAGAGGGACAGCAATACCTTGTTCACAAAGTAGAAGACGGCRTAAATGAGCACATAGAAGGCAGATCCTCCAGACACCAGGAAGGTCCTCCACCACCAGCGGTAATCCTGAGGGGAAAGGGCTCAGCATTATCCCACAACACCTGGGCCTCTGATCCATGACAGTTGGAGCATCATTTATTTTCCTCCAAACATCCCCAAGCTGTGGTTAACTAGTGTGTCACAGAAGCAGTAACTGAAGCGTTTCCAAACACAGAGCAGGAAAACTCGGGAGGGCAGCAAAGCCTGGCCCACGCTACAGCGCTTGCTCCAGAAGAACAAGGCTCAGCCTCTGGCCTCGCCTTTCCCCTCATGCAGGGCTGAAATGAAGCTGCTCCTTTGGGAAGGGGAGGGAGCTCAGGGAATCCTGTCCCACGCGGCGTTTCCAATGTGCAGACCACGCTCCTCAGCAGCTTCCACTCGCCCACGAGTGCCAGGGGCACCCACGGGAGCGGGGCCACAGAGCGACCCGGGCCCTGCCGGAGCACCCGGGCCCCGTCAGCCACCAAAACCACGGCAGGGAGAGCTCACCTCGGCACAGAGCTGGAAGTAGACCATGACGATGCTGATCTGAGAGCACGACACCACCAGGATTATGAACACCAGGAAGAGAAAGCCAAAGAGGTAATAGAACTGGTTCTCCCAGATTGCCTGAAAGACACAACGGCACTTGGTCTCCACTCCGTTGCTACTGCAATTAAACAGTGAACATGAGACTAAATGCAAGACTAACTTCTACTAGAGCAGCCTAGGAGATAAGGGCCCCTTGGCCTCATACAAAGCCCTGGATCAGGCACATTTAACAACGTGCCTTCCAAAGAATCCCATTGCAAGGTGCCCCAAGAGAGCTACAAGGGAGCTCGTTCATTTCCATTTTTCCCTATCACTGTCCACAGAAAGGTAAAAAATGGGTAATTGCTGGAAAAKTCCCACTGGAATGTTTTGAGGTTAGGACCCCTTCCAGGCAGGATATGAGAGTAACATCCTTTGGACTCTGCTGTTGCCTTCATATAATCCAGGAATGTTGTACAGACATCTCGAGGACCCTGAGCAAGAAAACAGGCCAAAGAGGCCCGGCTGCCCGGGGCCAGCATGGAAAGGCCTCAAGCGGAGCTGTTATCCAAGCAGGTGCCCCCTTCCTTTCCACACCAGTGGGCCCCGACATGACGGGTATGCTATTCAGAGACTAAGCAGGTTTAGTGCTTACACTGAAAATGAAGAACAGCTCGATGAACATGGCTCCAAAAGGCAGAATACCAGCCATAAGGATCCTACAGAACGAGGAAAGAAAATCCTTAGTGCCACAATATAATTGCCTAACGATTAAGTCACCTGCCATTACACAAAAGCACTCCCAGCAAGAGCTCTGCAGCTTCACGTCACTGGAATTAATTTCAGGCAACAAATGGCCCTGCTACTCCTATGTTTTGGTGCGTGCCACTGGTAGGCACAGTGGTACCACACCATGCTTGCCAAGAGCGGGTCTGCAACGCTGCACTGCCCATGGGAAATCTATCCACAATGTGCCTGTGCCCAAAGGAGGTGATGGTCACAGCCTGAGGACACTGAGGTGGGGCAAGGGTCTCAACTCACCATATTTCCTAGACACTCATCACTCACCCGACAAATTTATTCATGTACCACCTCTGCTCCGGGATCTGCCTTGGAATCTGGTTGGTCCGGACAGGATTGTCATACGGCTGCTTGCGAAATCCAAAGTAGTAACCCAGGTAGACCAAGGGCAAGGAGATCCCAAACCACATGCACAGCAAGGCCACCATAGTGGGGAAAGGCACCTGGAACCACACCAAGTGTCCCAAGTGAGGCTTCCAGAAAGTTCCCTCACCTGAGACCACTGGCCAGAGCAGCTCTGCAGCTGATCGTGGCCCTGACACCCACACTCCCCAAGCTGGGTTGGGACTGCAGCCCCCTCCTCCCTCTGCAGGGCACTTCCAGGTAAAGAGGGTACCCACCGCTCCAGAGGAGTGTTTCCCCCAGATGAAGCAGTTCAGCACAAAGCAGATGCCAAAGACTACGCCCGGATACAGAGTAGCTGTCTGCAAGAGCAAACACAAGTTAAGAGACAACGTCAGACCGTTAGGAACCAGACTCTTAATGAGTCCCTTGCAGGATGAAGCACGCATGGAAGCAACAACCCTTCTCCATCCTCTGTTTAGCAGTGCTGTAAAACTGCAGTGAAGATCCTGGATGATCTGTGTGCTTTACTGTCATATGTGTCCTGGTGTCCTCCCTTTCTGGTCTCAGCCCACACCAATCTCTGTGGTACAGCCAGGCTGCACCCAGCTGTCCGGGAATACACCCGGAGCTGATCCACCCGTCTGCCCCACGCGCAGGCCYGGCTGGGCAGCCCAGCACACCAGCAGACACAGAAGCTAGCACAGACTTACACAGAAAGCTCCCTTCTTCCACCTGTGCCCCTTCAGAGTCCGGTATAAGCGGCCAGCAAAGAATCCACCAAAAACCCTGCATAAAAACAGGCCAAACCAAAGTCAGTCTCCATTCCCTGGGGAACGTGGTATCCGGAGGGCAGYAGGGGACACCTACCCCATGAACATGAAGAGGAAGCAGGCAGTAGTCATCAGCGCACCCCGGCTAGAAGGCGACAGCATCCCCAGCATGGCCACAACTGTGGGAGGCAAGAAGAGCAGAGCAGGGCGGCTCTGGTGAGGGCGCAGCGGCAGCAGAGGGGCAGGGGAGGATGCGGCTGCCTGGCACCACCTCCGCCAGCACAGACCTCCCTGCCCGCAGCAACACACACCAACGGCCTCAGGGCAGCCAGAGGGAGAGCCCCAGCTTTGATCTCAAGCTACAGAACATGCTTCAGCCCCACTGTTTCTTCCCCACAGAGAATCAAACAGGCGCAGCTCAGACCGCAAAGCTGCCACCCAGCTTTTCCACAAATCACTGTCCTCATTACTCGATAAAACACAGAAGGCTTCATTTAGGAAATGGTATCTAGAAAGTTAGAGATGCTGAGCACAGGCCTTCAGCCTAGATGGACCCTGCAACAAGAAGTGGGCCTCATCTGGCTTAACACGAGCAAAGGTGAGGACTTGTCAACGCCAATGGGAGCGACGAACGTCCCTCTTCCCGTTACAACACCCCAGCGAAATGCGTGCCACTCACAGATGACGATCAGGATCATACAAAAGAGCTGAATCCCAGAACCCAGGAGAGAACTGAGGATCATAGGATATTGTGGAGGCCTGAAGACATCTCCATGAACAAGTTTCCAACCGGATTCTTCCATGGTATCTTCCTGCAGCAACAATGGGAACAGACAGTGCTTAGATGCAGCCTGCCAGCAGAAACATGTCCTACCACAGCCAGTGTAACTGGTGAGTGCCCCGCAACCAGGTCTTTTAAAGAATGACATCCCTCTAGTTAAGAAACCTCTTTCCTCCTAGGCTAAGTTGAGGGTCTCTATAAGGTTTAGGCCTGGACTGCCAATGCCAAGGCAACCATCTACAAAAGTGCTGGCAGTCATTACTTAGGTCAGAAAACATCCCAATGGATGATCTGCCATTGAACACGGAGCACCAAAGGTGCCAAGACAGGACACTACAGAGCTGCCCCTCCTACCTGCAGGGCTAGCAGCAAAACCAGGGAAAGGCAAGAGAAAATACAGCCGGTTCCTCCAAACCAGAGCCCTCTTCAGCACTTCCCTCCCTCTCCCATCCCAGTCCCAAGAGGGAACACATCATACAATGTCATCTTCCTTGTTGTAGTTGGCAATGTCCTTCCGGAGGGTGCGGATGATGATCATGCTGAGAATACCTGAAGACACACAAAGCAAACTCGGCTCAGAGGCTCCCAGTGACCCTCCTGTGGGGCRGCTACACGGCTCGCCCCAAACACGGGGCTGCACTAGCCCAGGTAGCCCTGAGCATGCAGCATCTCCCCCAGCAAAGACAGCAGCAAACCCCAGAGGGGACACAAGGCAGCATTCCCATAGGAACAGGGCACTGCAGCCTTCCCGATTATTCCTCTTGGATGCGGACATGCGAGATGCACGTTAACCACACCAGGGATTCCTGCCCTCCCCCAAGAGCCCCAATCTGGGCAGAGGTGAGTGACAGTCTGACCCTACAGAGTGCTGCCCAAACTGGAAGGTTTCACACGGTCTAATGCTGGTTTCCTGCCCCTCTGACACTTCCCATGTGGCCACATCTCCCTCAGGCTGCAGCTGAGCTCACAGCAACCCCCCTGCAGCTAAACGGGAAAGCCTTCCCGGTGCCAAACCTCACTCACCTGAAAGGAAGAAGACGACCACGACTGAGTTGATGATGGAGAACCAGTGGATCTGCACATCGCTCATGGTCAGGTATGTGTCCCAGCGGGAAGCCCACTTAATGTCACTTTCCTGAAAGAACAACACTGCAGGAGCAGAGGCCCTTTGGGCACCCAGCAGCTATCCCAGCCCCGTGTCGCCCTATTCCAGAGCATTCCCAACGCCTTCCACAACTGCTCTGCAGCATGGGCATCTCAGCACTAACCGCCCCCAGACACAGCGGTTACCAGCCAGCTTCCCATTGTGCCCTCACCTCCCAATGCACAGAGTAGGTGAAGAGCAGCTGGTTCTCTTTAGAAGGATCTATTTCCTGAGGAGCAGAGCCCGTAGCTTCGGGCAGGGTGCACAGACCCTTCTCATCAGCCTTCAGGTCTGCAAGAGAACAGCCAGGGCACAGGGGGTGAGCACCTCCCTGGGGCAGAGCCCCGCTCCGGCCACGCCGGCCCCAACACACATCACCGCGCTGCCTTTATCCCACACACTGCCGGGCAGGCGCCCGTTCCCTTCCCAGGTGCCTGGCCGTTACCAGGAATGCTCTTCCAATCAGGAACGGAGCACCATTAATGAACGTTTAAGGCAAGCCACGTGTGAGCCTCTCCTTACAGGCAGGGTAAAAGCTAAATGCTCTGAAAATGAGGATCTAGATGGGGAAAGAGACCCTCTGTTCCACAGGAGATTCAGAGAGACAAGGGCTCCCCTGCAGGGCCTGCTGCCGCGGCTACAGGAGTAGCATGGGGCGATATGTGATATGGGCAAACTCTCCCTCTAAGATTCCCGTTTCATACTGGGCTCACTGAAGTAGAAAGACGAACCCCATAAGGTAAATTGAGGTGTTAACCCCTGTGGAACAACTCCAGGCACCTGGGGACTCTGGACCTGCACACCTGCTGCTCCGTCCCTGCGCGGCAGACGTGGCCACGACGCACAGGACAGCGCAAAAACCACCCGCAGCTCTTGAAATGCATTCATTTTTCATGTGCTGCATTTTAACATATGTCCCCATTTTTTATATTTTCTAACTAAATAAAAAGCTATATTGGACTTCCAATCCCGACTCCCTCATTTCTGTGCCACAAGGTCTACAATGGAAGCAATGACTACCACTAATGTTAGTKGTGTGCAACTGCCAGCGCCCCAAGACACTCTCCTCCCAGGCTCTCTTGCCTGGAAATCTCTCACCTTCCAGTTTAATGCTTTGGGGGATCACTTCGAAGCGCACAACCCTGTACGTGGGCTCCTGGTTCTCTTCCACATCCTCTCTGTGGTAGTAAAGGATGAAGGAGAGGTGGTTGTGCAGGTAGAACTAAAATGGATTGACATTAAACGAAAGCGTTAGCATCCCAAGGGAAGAACAGGCAACGTATAGAAGCAACAACTGGAGAAAGCAGTTTCAGTGCTGGAAACTGGAGACTCCAACTGCTCCAGATACGATGTGCTAYGGAGCGAGACCCGGCTCCCTAACACTTTCCAGTGATAAGGAAACAAAAGAAGAGAACGTGGCTGTTTAAAAGGTGACATATCAACCGCTCCAAGCACCAGCAATGGTGTTCGAGTCCACTTCTGGCTGGGAGGATACCAGCAGAAAGACACATCTCAACCGTGCACTCAGTGGAGTGTTCAGTGGCAAGATCACAAAATCAGGTTGGGAGCACCTCRGTAGCTACAGCCTTAATTTTCTGGCTGCCTCTTCCTCCAGATAAACAACATCACTCAGGTTGTGTGTGGACACACAGCTGTCCTAAGCCTGACCAGCCACACAAAGCTGCTCCATCGATAAGAACCTGCCTCCCGGGGTCGCAGCTGAGCACTTGYGTGCGCTCACAAGGTGCAGCTGTTAAGCCACACAGCTCATCGTTAGGGCGCACAGCCACTGGACACACATGCAGCCACATGCTGATTTTTCATTTGCAAATTCAAGCATCTTCCCCAAGACATTCCATTTTGTACAATTYGTCAGTCTCTGTTTTCTTCCTAATACCTTTTCCTCCTTTCTTAAGCATATTTCTTGCCGTAGCTATTGCACTATGCTGGAGGAAATCAAATTGCTGCCTTTTGACTTGAATTCAAGTTCTAGTCTCATCACAGACAATTTCATACAAAAATTAAACACTTGACAAGTCTCTTGCCTCCAAAAAGGGCRCCACGACTGCTGAAAACTAGGCAGCCTTCAGGGCTCCTCTGGGAGGGGATTCCACCCTGTTCTGCCGAGGGGAAGCCACTGCACAATGTTGTCCAACATCGTGGGGAAGTAGGTGCTAGAACTCCTAGTTGGCAACCCGGTATTTCAGCAGCCACTCTCCCCTCTCCCAGTACAAGACCCAGCSCTCATTTCCTCTCTTCTCTTACAGCCACTCTTCATAAAAACCCCTTGATTGCAATCCCAGGCCTGATGTTCTTTGGTAACTTCTAACATCACCTGATAGATACCCAGAGCTCCTCCAGGTCCCCCTTAGACAGCATCTGGATTCTCTACCTTGTTACCGTCCATAAACCCAAGCCTGTAGCCATGCTCGAACTGGACATCCTTCTCCTTCTTCTTTTCCTCTTCCTCACGACTTGAATAAAACTCCAGCCGTGTTGCCACAGGGAGGTTATCAGCAATGCTGAAAGCACAGATTTCACATCAAATTTGTCCACAACAGAGAATCCCCACTGACACAAACCCGTGCTCGAGATGACTCACAGATGGACATAATAATCTTCCCTGATTCGCTCAGCGATCAGCTTGCTCTGCTCCACCGTCAGAGTAACTGGCTTATTGGGAAGGTTGCACAGAACCTCACATTTCTTCTCCACGCTCATGGAAACCTGGAAAGGCGTATTTACAATCCGATCTCCCCGGAGAACCTCACCTGGAAAACAGGAGAGCGAGGGCAGGGTTGAGGGCTGCTAGGCTTCTTGCCACTCATCCTGCCACGGGGTTTTTAGTCACACACAACACTGCAGTGTTGAGAGCAGTCTCCTTTGTTGCTATGGATGTCAGCTGGGTGGAAAAAAAACTAGAGGGTATTTTGGTTCTGTTATTTGTCTGACATACCAAGCACTGCTTATGAAATTAGCTACAGGTCCTCTGCTGAAGGGTGCTTCTGCATACACAGATATTCTAGTTTGCAAACGGCCATCATTCAACAAATGAGAGCAGGCTCTCCTCAAGCAGTTTATTAGAGGTGACATTTGCAGTTGCTTCTCCTCCTGTAAACAAACCCTCATGCAGCTTGTAAGTGGCAGCCCGTTAGCTGATTTGCAGCTTGCTGCTCCACAGATACCCACCTAGATTCTCAGCCTTGTACGTTATCTTGGTGGGCTGACAGAAGGGCAATGAGTAGTATTCATATGGGAGCTGGGTTCGGGAACTGGTGAGCTTCACAGCCTGCAGAGAGCAGAAAGCCAKAACAGTGAGCTGCACGAAAGAGCTCGCATGATCTCATAGCCTCCAAAGCTCACACAGAAACAATTCCCATAAAGTTCACTTCTGGAAGCTGCAAGAAAGGAGACAATCCTGGGAGAGCTCCTGCTTTCTTCACTTTTGCATGGTTTTTAGTTGTAAATTCTCTACGTTGTGATTTGCTATCAAGTCCTTTATTAATAAGGAAACACCTGTAGGAAAGCATGGTGAGTTGGTTTCACAAATTTACAACCCAATGAAATCCTGCAAATCAAAGTGCCTGAGAGATTCAAGAGCCTCATTCCACATAAGATTAGAGTTATTGCCTCAAAAAGAGAGTCACACAGGACCTAGAGACCTGACCTCTACTGATACAAAAAGCTGAGCAGCCTTTATCGCTGGAAGGAAACCGTGGGAGGCATCAGATTGGAAAAACAACAGAGAGTGGCAAAATCCAAACATTTTGGGAGAGTATCCACAAATCACAGGGCCCAAGAGAAGTGCAGACATTCCACACACAGCCCAGACCACAGTTGCTCAGGAAAGCAAGAGCATTTTGTACCACAGCCAAGCTCATTTATTGGAAGAGTGCAGGCAAACTTGCCAGCTTGTCTCATCAACAGAAAAAACACTTGGCTCGTGAAATGCCTTTGAGAGCAGCCATTTCAACAGCCCTTTCCCCAAGGAAACCTACTGCAGCCACAGGCCGGCCTCATTCACTTCAAAATAGCCCAGGTCTGGCAGCCTGTGGCCAGGGAGCAAGTTGTGTTGTGCTTCATGCAGGAGAAGGCAACCTCAGCACCCCCGGGGGTGCCAGCTGTGCCGGGACAGAGGCCACAGCTTTAGAAAAGAAATGGAAAGGGCTGTAAAAGGCCATGCCAGGAGCAGAGCCCGGCCTCCTCCTGCGCGGGAGGAGCGGTGCCATGCACTGCTACCAGGGGTGCTGCTACCAGGGGTGCTGCACAGGAGGGGCTTTGCAGCAGCCGGGGTTGTCAGGCCCGTGATGCTCAAGGACGAATGTCTGCACTTGGAGTAGATTGTCGTGGATTTCTTGAGGATACAGCACATGAAAACCAGGTAGAAGAGAAAATTTTAATGGTCTGATTCAAACCATGACTTCAGCCTACCATCTATAGGCTCAGTCTCCACCAACACTTTGAGAGTGAGTATAATACCAGAGAAAATCCCTCATAAAATTCACTTTAAAACCAGAATGAGAAAAAAAGGAGGCTGTTTTGCCCAGCACAGCAACATCTCAAGGACTTTGGTGTAGCTGTTAAAGGAACTTGGAAGAAACAGGAAGCAAGAAAGAGTCAACACTGGAATACTAGGGCATAGTGATGACAGCAATTACTCGAGGGCCCCTTTCTCCCAACACAAATGTTATGAAGAGGAAAATATCCGCCCCAAATTTTAACAGGTGGCCAAAGTTTGGCTTGAGRGACCAACTTACTGCTATGACATAATCAAGAAAAAACAAGATCTCCCTAAGTTCACCCTACCTTAATTTCCACAGGATCATTCCGATGGAAGTTGATAGGAGCCACGCCAGGTACGTAGAAGGAGTCTGTACCAGGAAGCAACGGCAGCAAAACCAGCAAGTACCTTAGCCTTTCCTACAGGAACCAAAGAGGCAGCACGTTACAGACAGCAGATAGGAGCACACAACAGTATCAGAGATGGGCAGCGGCAGGAAGGATTCACCGGGGAGCTGGGCGGCCCCGAGCTCCGCTGACCAAGCTAACTCTGTGCCGCGACTCCCACCGCGTCTGCTCTTCTGGAACTGGGAACGTTTGGTCCTTGTTCAGATGCAATAAAGGCGAGCTCAAAATCTGTAACCTGCTTCCCTTACCAGGCCATCATCCAGTTTTTGTACTCCGACCCAGGCAAAGCCCCTGTGAAGAAGCACGTAACTGCAGGGGTTGTTAGTGAGGAGGACACAGGCCTCGGCACTAGGTCCCTGTCAGCGCTACCCTTGGGAAGTTACCCCCGCGCAGGTGACAGGCTGACGTTCACACACACACACACACACACACACACACACACACACACACACACACACGGAATGGGCTGACACTACAATGGGCCAACCTGACAACTCATTGCACCCAGCAGGGGTGCAATGTGCCTCTCCTTCCAAGGCCACAGCCTTCCTCCTCCTCACCCTGTGCAGGGGAATTTCGGCTCAACACGGGGAGAAGGAAAAAARAGAGGGCCTCCTTTTCAGGAAGCAGGAAGAGGGATCAGTTAGAAAGTTGATTCACTTCAGCCTAACACGTGTGGCTGCAAAGCCCAAACTGACTGCATTTCACCGGCCMGCGCACGCTGCACGTGGAAAAGGAGGGAGCTTGACATGTCCTTAAACAGGCAAGGCAATACAGACTAAACCCAGCAATCTACCTGCAGCCTGTTAATATTAAATTACCAGCTATGGATTTTCCTGCTTACACGGGGGCTCTCTAGATCTAGTCCAGGTATTGCTTAATGCAAGCGCAGCGGACAGAAAGCTTATCTGGAAAGTAACCGAAAGGCGTAGATAGAGAAGGAAATTAAAACACCAATTAAATCACTTGGAGTTAAACAGCCCTCCAGGCCGAACAAGGCAACTTCCTGCTGTGCTGCACACTAAGCCCTTCCCTCTCTCCTCCCGCAGAGCAGCACTTTATGGCTCCTCCGGGGCAGGGGAAGCGCGACAGGGACAGCGCTCTCCTCCTCCACCCCGCTCGAAACGCACACACGTCACCGCTCCCCRAAGCCGGCCCGGGAGCAGCCCTTGATCCCTGCCGTGAAGCACCGGGCAAGCTCGGCAGCGGCGAGCGCCTGGAAAGCCAAGCTCTTGCTGACGGCGTTGGTAGAAGATGGGCTCATCGCACACACGACGTGACTCAAAGAGCACCGGGCAGCAGGAGGGCGGCCCGGGACGGCATCGCCAGGGAGCAGGCGCTGTTCCCCGGGCACGGAGAGGCGGCCGCAGCGAGCTCCGGAGCCGAGYGGGAAGGGACCTTGCACAGGAGGCTCCGACCAGCAGCCGTCAGACCTGCTGCCAACGGAGCCTGCCCAGGGCAAAGCCGAGACCTCGGCTATGGGGAGCTTTCACGTACCACGTGCACTTTGGTTGCCCCACAGGAAGTAAGAAGCTAGGAACGACGTGGGCACGGGCCAAAGCGCCTGGGTAAGTCGGGAGGCACCGTCCCACTCATGGAACACCYTTGGGCGCCTCATTTTCCAGGCAAGGCTGAAGGTCGCAGGACAGAGCTTCATCTGAGAGAAGCACAGACCTCTGGTACAGGGGGACAGCAGGGGAAGGGAGAACCCCAAAGCAGCAACAAGCATCCCAAAACACACAGAGCCCACTGAAGTGACAGCCCCGCATCCGCGATGCCAGGACATTGTACACTGAAGCAAAGACACGCAACTGCCAAGCAGAGAAAGAACAGACATGGGAAAAACATCCCAGGGGACAAAACCCACCAGGAAACCCCCCTTCCCCACGGGAGGCTCCCTAAAAGGCCGGCACTCGCCGCACAGGGACCCCGTCCTCTCCCGCAGCCCCTGCCCAGGGGCTCGGGCCACCCCCAGGGCCCCAGCCCACAGCGGGGACAACGTGTCCCAGGACGGGGCGAGCGAGCCTCCAGACAGCAGCGTTTCAAACGATCTGCAAACAATTTAACGGGGCTGGTGCCGAACTAGGGTCAGCTTGAGCCTGTTTCAAAACATAAACTCAGGAAGACAATAAAATATCTACTCAAAGGGAGGGAAAGGGAGTGGGAAAATAAGCCAGGATGAAGCGCACCCGCCGTTTTCCCCCTTCTTCTCCGCGGAGCAGGGAAAGGTGCAGATCAAAGAGCACCAACCGAGACCTTCTTAYTTCAAAGGCATTTGGGAAGAGACGCAGGGAAACACAACCCGCGTGCGGCAGTTAACCCGGCAGCCTCATGGAGGCCTGACACCTTGCTGCTGTCACTGAGCCTTTCTAACGAGGTGTCAGGAGGGGAAGAAAGGCGCAAGCCTAGAACGTGGCTTGGGGAACAGCCCCGTCCCCCGCGGGACGGCCCAAGCCCCGTCCCAGCACAGTGTCCGGTCCGCGCTGGGCAGCCCCAGCAGGACGGCACCGCGCTGGTGCCACCGCGGGCGCCTCCGTTCGCACTGCCACAACCACCCGGCTCGCCGTGCCGCTGCCCTGCGCAGCCTTTGGGCAGAGGGGCCCCAGAGCCATCGGAGGGGACACAAGCGCCGCATTCACCACCATTTCTGGGAGCCCCTTTGATGCAGGGGGGGCCCTCGGGGGCCTCCCCGCCCTCCCCACGGGGAAGGAGGGGGCAGACCCCCAACACGACCGACGTGGGACCTAAAACCKGCGCGGAAACGACCCGCTGTCCCGGGCAGCGGCCCACGGAGGGGCCTGGGACGGAAGAGCCGCTCGCTTCCCCCCTGCCCGCTCCTCCTCGAGTCCCCGCCAGCCCCGGCGGGACCCCCGCTCCCCGTCCCGCCGAGGGGCTCTCACCAGGGCCCCGCGCGGCCCAAGGAAGGCGCCGCTCGGGAGCCAAGCGCGGCCATGGGAACCGCCGGCGCGGGCGGCCCCGGGCCCCGCGGGGCAGCGGCCTCCCGGGGAGCGGCCCCCCCCGCCCCGGGCCGCCCCGGGCCGGCCCCGCCCGCCCGCCGCACCGGGGAGGCCCCGCGGCCGCCGCGCTCACCAGCGCCGCCGCCATCTTGCATCCACGTGTCGCCACCGACGTCAGCGGAAGCGGCCGCCCGTTGGCTGCGCACGTTTATCGCCATGGCGACGGCGGCCGCGACGCCGCGGGCGCCATGTTTGATGAGGGCGATGAGGGGCGGGCGGAGGCTCCCGAGGGGAGCCCCGATGGGACCCCCGTAATGGGGGGGGGGGGGGGGGGTGATTAGCGGGGATTTGGGGAGGAAAACGGAGGGGATTGGGGGGCGAATGTCCCACACACACTCTACAGTGAGGGCAGCCACCATGGCACTTAAAAATGCTTTATTGACTACAGAATAAGACACTTCTTAGTGCTGAAAATGGAAGCTCTGAGCTTGGGAGTTGTCTCCCAGAGGGAAGCAGACAGCCCCAAAAGCCTGGTTTCCRTTGGAAATATAGAAAAGGCTCTTAAAAAAAAACCACACTCCCTCCCTTGGCAGGCCCCAGACAACCTCTCGTGCAGCACCAAGCGTGAACAGGAGCGTTAAACGCGGCCGTGAGACAGGTTCAGCATCGATGGTGCAAGGACGGTGTCAAGGACAGGGCACCGGCCGTGGCACCGCAGGGTGGCCGGGGCCGCTGGGCACGAGCAGCTCCCGGCCCCGCCGTGGCCGTCACCTCGGGGAAGCGCTCAGGGTTAGTCTGACTTACAAAGCTTGTGTATTTATATATACATGTCCGTATGACTTATGTCATAAGGCCCCGTGTCCATTGGCATCCGCAGGCACCTCRCTCCGGAGCTGCGGAAGCGCTATGGATAATGCCCGGGGAGGATATCCCGGCGGCTCCGGCTGCAAGGCGCTTCCCTGGCCCGTTCCCGGCGTCGGGAATAGCCGTGTCYGCGGACCCGCGGCAGAGCCGCTGCGACGGGCAGTGCCACCGCAGTGGCAGCCCAGTGGCTGCTTCTGCAACCGGCGCCGTAAGATCTCCCACGAGCCCAAACCGCTCTGGTTTCTTCCTCTTAGCTGGAGCTGCAGCCCGGGGGAACACCGTGCACGGAGCGCTTCCCGGCTCCGAGCGCTTCCCGGCTCCCTGCATCCACAGGAATCACCACGCTCAGCTCATCCACGCACAGCACAGCCCAGGACGCCGACCCGGGCCCTGCTCCGTTCTCCAGGTCCGACAACGCCACTCAAGGAAGCCTTTGGGTTCTGGGAGCTGAGGAGGGCACGGAGCCTTGGCAGGGAGCACGCGGAGCCGCGCACGGCTCTGCTCCTTCACCGTGCGCCCCGCGTCACGGCTGCTGCTGGTACTGGCTCTCCGTTGCCGTGAAGAAGTCCTCCAGGATGCTCTGCGTGTACTCGAAGGTGGGACGATCCTCTGGGTTCGTCTTCCAGCATCTCATCATGACGTCGTACAGCTCTGCTGGGCAGCTCTCCGTGCGCGGCATGCGGTAGCCGCGATCCAGGGCCCGGATCACCTCCGCGCTGGACATCCCTAGGGATACAGGGCAGGAGCCTGGGTGAAAACTTCGTGGTGTAAAAGGCAAAAACCTCCCAGTGACACTGTGCAAAGGRTGGGGGAAAAGGACGGGTCTGAGGACAAAGGGGTGAGGGAATGAGTGCTCGTTTCACTCCTGCTCTGGGAAAAATACAAACAAGGGAGATGTTGAGGCACAAAACTGACTGTTGTTGCTACAAGAGGTGCAGAGGGTCCCCTAAACCTGAACTCGCCGGGGTTCATTCCTGCGCTGCCCATGGGAGGGCTCTGCTTTGAGGGAGCTGGAAAGCACGGGGCTGGGTTGCACCTCACGCGTTTGCAGGTCAGTGGGAAGAGCTAGTGTCGACTGAGGAATCCCCCCATCCAAGGGAGGATGTGGGATCCCAGCTGGGAACTTCCCAGTCATCCATCCCGGGGCAGCGCTTGTCCCAACAGAAGATGCGGCTGAAGGCAAAGCGCGTCCTGACCAGAGGCCGTCCGGGCGCCGGGCTCCGCTCCGGGCCTCGCTCCAGCAATCGTCATCCCGGGATCTTGTCTATGCCACTGCCCTGGAGYGCTGCTCCCAGCGCAAGGTTTGAATTTCTCACCCCTCGCTCTGTTTCCTGCCCTCTAACTTCATGGAGAGGCAGATCCCATGGACGGGACCCTGAACACTGCCTGCAAGGTGGAGCACGTCTTTTGGAAGCAGGTTTTAAGAGGTATTTCRCCTTCTTACCTGGGTATGGGATGCGCCCATAGGTAATGATCTCTGTCAGGAGGATCCCAAAGGACCAGACGTCTGACTTTATAGTGAAAGATCCATAGTTGATGGCTTCTGGGGCAGTCCATTTGATGGGAAACTTGGCGCCTGGACAAAGAGAGATGAAAAGAAACACGAGTTGTAACCCAAATACCGAGAAAGAGGCAGTGAAATGTGGGGAAGAAGCAATAAATAAACCAGACACACGTATAGAGATGCAAATAAGAGTAGCTGCAGTTATATATCTGCTTATGCCGTATATTCCTCCCTGGGCTCTCGCCAGTTACCCATCGGTGAGCGGGTCTAAAGGATCCGCAGCGAGCTCAGAACGCGGCCAGAGCCCAGGGCAGCCCCCGGTCCCTTCCCGGGCCGTGTTCTTGTCCCCCGGTACCTTCCCGGGCCGTGTACTCGTCATCCTCGATGACCCGGGCCAGGCCAAAGTCCGCAATCTTGCACACCAGTAAGGCCGAGACTAAAATGTTGGCCGCTCGCAAGTCTCTGTGGATGTAGTTCCTCTTCTCAATAAAAGCCATCCCTTCCGCAATCTGTGAAAAGGGGAATAAGAAAAATGCAAAGGCGCTCTCAGAAATACCACAAAAACCCTCGAAGTAACTGCTTCTGGGTTAGCTTCCTCAGCAGAGCGTGGACGGAGGCTGAACCGTGGCCGGGCACACGGCAGGCCCAGCAGGAAACCCATTTCTCTCCCGCGTGGGACCTTCTCTCCATGCAGGGAGCCCCTTGTGGAAAAGATCGGGATTTTGGAGGACCAGATGAGACACAACCCATTTCAGCCCCAAAGATGCTCCCGGCTCCATCTCTGCTCTCATCGACTGCAACATCGGGTGCAGGTATTGACCCCTGACCAGCGTGGAGGGGAGCAAAGGTGCGCACGGCCACAACGCAGACCCAGGCCACATTTCCACAAGTCCGCATGCTGCCAGCCTCTGGCGTCTRGTTTCCTCTTGGCTCAGGGACCTTCTTGAGCTCATGCTGTGCCGAGGCAGAGGAAACGGCGCCGGCCCCGCTGGGAAGGGCGAGCGGAGCCGCCGGTGCTAAAGGAACCCAGTTACGGAGTGGACACGGACGCTTTGCGAGAGGCAGCTCGATGGAGAAACCTCCGTGCACAATTGCCCCCCTGGCCCCGGCACGGCCAGCTCCGGGAGCGGTGCTGCAGCCGTCGCTTTGCTGCCCCGTTCTGTGCGGTGGTGCCCGGGCGAGCGGGCGCCCGGCTTTGCCGGCGCCRCAGAGGCAGCGGTTGCACAAGCGGTTGCACAAAGCAGCGCCCTCAGCTCTCCTCAGCATTACTAGCCCCACGGAAATATTTCTGCCGAGCACAGCTTCCTCTCCAGAGGTTCTTCCTCCTGGCCAGGAAGGTGCTTTTAGATGCGGTTGCTGCCGTAAAGCTGCGTGTGCGATGCAGTGGGGTAAAACAGCGGGCTTTCTCAAGCCCGCGCAGGGGGTTGCTGCAGGGAGCTCTGCAGTGGCAGCAATGCATAAAACCYGTATCATTTCCGTTGCTCCCGGCTCGCGCCGCTGCTCCCGGCCGGCCCCGCTCCATTCCCAAAGGGAGAGGTTGTGGCCGCGCCGCCCTCCCCGCTGCAGCAGCGCCCGGCTCCTCCGGCCCCGGGGATGATCCGGGCCTGGCACCRGCTCCTCCTCACCTGAGCGGAGAAGTCGATGAGCTTGGGCAGCGGCTGCCTGTGCCCCTCGCTGCTCTTGAGGAAGTCCAGCAGGCTCCCTGCGCGGAAGGGCCGGGGTGAGGCATGGACAGCGGGAATCCAACAAAGCATCCCGCGGGATCGCCCAGGCCCTCTGCACCCCGTGGCATGCTGCGGTGCCGTCCCCGCGCTGCGCCGCGCGGCTCACCTCTCTCCATGAGCTCAGTGATGATGAAGATGGGCTCCCCGCTGGTCACCACGGCGTGCAGCCTCACCAGCTTGTCGTGCTGCAGCGTCTTCATGAGCTCGGCCTCGGCCAGGAAGGCGGCCGCCGACATGCTGCCCGGCTTCATGGTCTTCACGGCCACCTTGGTGTGCTTGTTGTAGGTGGCTGCGGGAGGAGAGGGGGCGGCCGTCCCTGTGTGATGACAGCTCTGGGGACCCCAGCGCTTGGGAACGGGGCCCCAGGGGAGCCCGGCCAAAGGGGAAGGGTGACCCATGTCCCCCGGGGTCCTTGCTCCCACCGTGCCCGTTCCCCTGGTGCCCCCCGCGCTCTCACCCATCCACACTTCTCCAAACTGCCCCGCTCCCAGCTTCCTCTCCAGCTTCAGCGACTCCCGGGGGATCTCCCAGGCGTCCTTCTCCCAGGGCTGCCGTGGCTTGGGGACGCTGCAGGGCTGCACGAGCCGCTGGCACAGCCCGTCACGCTGCCCTGCCGGCGGGCGCGGGGCGTGAGCGCGCGGCCGGGCGCCGCGGCGCGCGTGCGGGCGCCCGCTCACCGCCGTAGTGCTGCACCAGCTCCCGCAGCGAGGCGAAGCCGCTCCGTGGAGAGATGTAGAAGCCGCCGCCGCCGTCCAGCGCGCGGATCTTGTAGTGCTTCACGGGGCCGCCCGGCGCCGGCTCCGCGTCCCGCACCGACAGCGAGTAGCAGCCTGYGGGGAAGGYGCCGGGAGCTGGAGCGCGGGGCCGGCGCCGCCGCGGCCGCCTCCCCTGCAGCTACCTCTGCTCGTCTCGCTGTCCCGGATCAGGAAGGATCCTGCCCCGTTTCCCGGGCCCAGGAGCTGCCGCTCCGCATCCTTCCGGCTGATGCCCTTGAAAAACCACCTGCAATGGGAGCGAAGGGGCCGGCGAGCGGGAATGGGGATTGCAGCTCGGCCACRGGGCAGGAGCAGGGAGAAGGGGCTGCCCGCCCGACTCACTCCTCGGTCTCCAGCGAGCCGGCTCGCGCCACGTAGTTGCTGGGAATGAAGCCTTCATGCCCCGTGGCCAGTGACCGGGCTCTCCACCACTCGCCTGACCTGAGGGCACAGGCGGCACCCATGAACGCTGCATCCCGGTTCCAGGGCTACCGCAGAGCTGCCACTTCCCAGGGCTCCGCAGCGAAGGAGAAGGATGGGAAAAAGCGACTGGAGAGCACACGAGCTCGCGAGACACCCCAGCATAGGGATCAGGGCTGGAGCCGGAGCAGCCACTCACTCCTCCAGCACCCGGAGCTGCTCGCCCTTGCGGAAGCCGAGGTCCTGTGCGTGCGTCGCCTCGTAGTCGTAGAGCGCCAGCACGACGTCCTCATGGGCAGCCCCGGGCACCGCGGCCACACCAGGGCTCTGCCCATGCCGCTGTCCCCCGAGCTCCGCAGCGCCAGCACCGTCCGTGCCATCCATGGGGACACTGCTGCTCTGCGGGGCCAGGCAGGAGGCAGACAGGGATTTGCCCAGAGCAAYGTGAAGGGGTCGCCCACTGCCCCCCACTGCCCAGCACCAGTGTCCCCTCTCCCACGCTCAGGCACCTCCGTTCTTCCCGCTCAGCATCCTGCCCTTTCCTGTAATCCCTTGGGCTGCATCGCCCACTTGGCACAGCCTCTGTGCTCCCTCCTGGTGCCACCGGCTCCGGCACTTACCCCCTTGCTGGCAGAAGTGGGGTCCTTCACGTAGTGGCCCTGCTGGACACCAGGACCTGCATCTGCCTCTATTTCCTTCTCCTGGAGTGCCGCTTTCTTGGACTTTGCACAACCCATCCTGCAAACAAGCCGGGAGGGAACAGAGACCCTTCCCTGTTCCCCCTCACTGGCACAGAGCTGCTGGGACAGTGATGCTCCCATGGGAGCTGCCCAGCAGCAACGCGGGGCCCCCCTGGCTGCGCCACGGGGAAGGGGCGTCCGGTGGGGCTGGCTCCCGGCTGCCGAGCCCGGCAGAGCCGCAGTGCACAAAGAAAGGGGATCTTGTTCCGAGAAAAGAGAAGTGTCGGGGCTGAGCGTGGGACGAGCGGCCGCGGCCACGCTGCTATTTTTGCTCGCTGTGGACGGCAGCCGCAGTCGGGCCAACGGCCCCCAGCGCTTCCCAGAGCAGCRGCGCAGCCGGAGTCACATCCCCTCTGTCCGGCTGCGGAGCGGGCAGCGAGAACGACACCGGGCTGCGGTGCTCCGGCTCCTGGCCCCGTCCCTGGCCATGCCGTGCTGTGCCAGAGCTGCAGGACCCCACGCTGCCATCCCCGATAGTGACAGGTCTGCCCCCAAGGGCAAACGGGGGCCTGGCCCTGCTCCCATGAGCCGGAGGTGCTGCAGAAACCAGAGCGCGAGGGGAAGCCCCTTGGAAAAGGGGGTCCCTCCCCTGCCCGGAGAAGACCTCGGAGGAAGGAGCCGGGTGTGAGCGGGAAAGAGGAAGCTGGGAGCTCCGGTGAGGGACCCCAGGGCGCTGGGGCAGACCCGGCACGGCCTCGCCGTTGTCACCGGCTACCAGCGAGCTCCGTGCCGCTGTGTGGAGCGGAGCCCCGGCACGGTCGGGAACAACTCGCGCCGCGGCGGCCCACGGCAGCGCAGGGGCTTTGGGTCTGTGCCGACACCGCGTCCCCGAGCGCCTGCCAGCACCGACACTGCTGCTACCAGAGACAGCATCGCCCCCGGGCTGTCCCCGCAGGCACGGGGCACCGGGCAGCACCCCCAGGACACCGGGCAGCACCCCCGGGGCATCGGGCAGCACTCCGGAGCCGCCCGCCCCGCCGCGGCCCCGCCGTGCGCGGGCTCGGGGGCATCGCCCCGCTCTCACCTCCGCCCCGTCCCGGGCTCTCCTCGTCGCCGCCGCCGCCGKCCCGATCCCGGGGCAGCCGCTGCTCCCGCCGCGCCGGGACCAACACCCGGGCCCCGCCCCCAACAGCGAGACCCCGCCCCCAACAGCGAGGCCACGCCTTTATCAGCGAGGCCACGCCTCCATCAGCGAGGCCCCGCCCCCAGATGAAGCTCCGCTCCCGGTGCTGGCGGCGGCCCCGGCGGCCGGGGGCACCTTTGGGTGACAGCGGGGACGGGCGCGTCTCTGTCCCGGCCCCAGCCGTGCCCCGGGCACCGGCACCTCCGCAGGGCCCTGCGGCAGCTCGAGACCCTCTGCCTCCCTCCCCGCTCGCTGGCCGGAGCGGGGCCGGGGGAAGCCGAGGCGGAGCCGCCGAGCACCACTTTCCTTTCACAAAACAGCCCTGCGTCCGTGCGGGAGCGCAGGGAAGCGCTGCGAGGGAGCGGGGGTCCAGGGCAGCCGCAGCCGTGCACGGCCACCCCAGGGACACATGTGCTCGTGCATGTGCACATGTGTGTGCACACACRTGTGTGCAGATGCCCCTTGGTCAGGGACAAGGAACCCAAACCCCTCAGCTAGGACGGGGCACCCGGCCCCAGCTCCCTTCCCGATAGAGCAGCACATACACCAGGCTCCCAGCACGACCCTGCCGGCCCTTCCCGCGCTGGAATGTGTCCCACTCTGGGTGCCGGTCCTGCAGGGGCCGGGTCCTGRGCTCCACACGGGGCTGCCTCCCAGCCAGAGCCCTCCCTTGTGCCAACGCGTGGGAGCAGACGCAGCCCCACGCGCCGCAGCCGCTCCGCACTGCGCCCTGCCTGAGACCCCAGGAAAGACCCACTCTGCTMCCCGCCCTGCCGTTTAATTGCAATCTGCACTAATGACAGCACACACGGCCRCCAGCCGGGCCCCATCGCAGCGAGCCACCGGTGTGGCAGCCCTCACAGGTAGTTGTCCTCCTCTTCCCCGCCGTCCTCGTCCTCGTTGCACGCCAGGGCCTCGATGTCRTGGGTGATGTCCGTGATCATGCGGTTGAAGGACTCGGCCTCGGAGCGCAGGGAGCAGCTGTCGTAGCTGCGCACGGCCGAGGCCGACGTGCTGCTCATGCTGCGCTTGATGCGGCCGAAGCTGTCGGTGAGGATGCCGCCCTCGCGGATGCCGATGCTCTCCAGGAAGGTCTCGAAGTAGCCGATGTCGTGGTCGGGGATGAAGGGCCGCATTCCTGCGGGAGCCGCGGTGAGGCCGGCGCGCGCGGAGGGGAACGCGGTGCCACCGACGGGCGCTCACCCAGGAGCAGGAACTTCCTGCGCTCGCCGTAGAGGCGCAGCAGGTCGCCGCAGTACTCGCGCACCGGCAGCCCCAGGCGGTACTCGCGCAGCAGCAGCGCGAACTGCTGGATCTCGGCGGGCGAGAGCTTGTTGCGCAGCTGCGGGGACGGGCACGGGGCGGGCGTGGGGCCGGGCACGCGGGAGCCACGTGTGTGGGGCTCGGGACGCCGCCACGCCGTGCCCGTGTCCGTCCCCGTGCCGTGTCCGCACCGTCACCATGTAGTCCTGCAGCTGCTCCAGGCCGGCGCTGCTCTGGTCGCTGCCGCTGCAGGCCGTGGCCAGGCTGTGGTGGGACTGGTGGAAGGAGGGCGAGGAGGCGCCGCTGTAGTAGGCCTCGAAGGTCTCGTGGGAGCCGTTGCTGCGGCGGGATGGCGGCGTCAGGGCGCCCGGCCGCTCACCCACACAGCCTAGCCAGGCTGCCCTGAGTGGGCAGCTCTACGGGCAGCGCAGGGGCAACTCTGCAGCTGGGCGAGCACCCAGCCTAGCATGGACACCCACTGCAGCATGGACACCCAACACAGACATGGACACCCAACACAGACATGGACACCCAGCCTGCTACGGACACCCACCAGTCACAGACACCCAATGTGGTCATGGACACCTGCCAGGCCAGAGACACTTGGTGTGGTCATGGGCACCAACCTGGGCGTGGACACCCAACCCAGGCCATGGATCCCCATCCATGGCATGGATACTTGTCCAGGACATGGACACCCACCAGAGCAGGGCCAACCCAACCCAGCGCAGGGCCACCCCAGGGGGCAGGGCCACCCCACAGCACGAGTCCACCTCCAGACCGGGCTTGGGGACGCAGCCTTACAAGGAGCTGCAGCAGCTGAAGTCGGCGTCGTAGCCGTACGTGCCGTCGGTGCGGCAGCTCTCGCCTGCGGAGGGAGCGCTGAGCGCCCGGCACGGCGCCCCGCGGCCGTGCCCCGGCCCCGGCGGTGCCGCCCTTGCCGCCCCGCGGCCCCGCGCTCACTGCGGCTGCGCAGCCAGGGCCGCTCGGGCGGGCAGCTGTAGTGGTAGCCGGCGCGGTCCACGCACTCGATGCTCTGGTCGCCGTAGATGATCTGGAAGACCTGGCAGATGAGGGCGCAGGACTCCTCGGCGACATCCTGCAGCGGGACAGAGCCGGGCGTCGGGGACAGGCCGGCRTCCCCGGCACCGCCAGCGGCGCCGCCGCCTCACCCTGTTGGCCACGGCGAGGATGACAAGGTTGGAGTAGGCGCCGGCGCAGGGCTCCTGCGGGTCGAGCGGGTTGGCACCCGCGTGCCGCCGCTCCCAGCTGCCGTAGGCCTTGCCGCGCTCCCAGCTGCCGCCGCGCGGCTGCCGCCGCTCCCAGCTGCCGAAGGGGCGGCCGCCCTGGCGCCGCTCCCAGCTGCCGCCGGCCGCGGGGCGCTCCAGGCT